TGCAGAGTACCACCAGAAGCTGAATGAGCGGATAGCGGAAATTTACGTGAACGAGAATCTCAACAATCTGTGGGAAGCTGTCCACGAAGCGGTGAGCACAACAGCCCGAGAGGTGATAGGTACAGCTCAGAGGCGCCCCCGGAACGAGTGGTTTGACGAGGAGTGCCAGCGAGTGACAGAGGAGAAGAACGTCGCCAGAAGCCGGATGTTGGTGTCTGGTACCCGTCAGAACAGAGAGCGGTACAGGGTAGCAAGGTCAGCCGAGAAACGAACCCATCGCAGCAAAAAAAAGGCAGTACGAGGAACGCGTTATTGCTGAGGCGCAGAAAGTATGGAGCAGAATGATATGCGAAGGTTTTACGCAACTGTCAATGGCGTGAGGAGTAAGACAGCGCCGTCTCCCGCCATGTGCTATGACCGTGAAGGTAATCTGCTGAAAGATAAAACGATGGTGACTGCCAGGTGGAAGGAGTACTTCGAGACGTTGCTGAACGGAGAGAACGAGAGAGCATCTACAAACAGAACACACATCGACGACGATGATCAAGCTGTGGAACCACCAACGCTAGAAGAGGTGAAAAAGGCGATACGAGAGCTGAAAAACAGTAAGGCTGCGGGGAAGGACGAGCTCCCAGCCGAACTTCTCAAACACGGAAGTGAGCAGCTGCACCAGATGATCCACCGTATACTGCTCAAGATATGGGAGGAGGAAGAATTGCCCGCTAGTTGGTTGAATGGTCTCGTTTGTCCCCTCTACAAAAAGGGACACATACTGGAGTGCTCCAATTACAGAGAAATCACGCTTCTGAATTCGGCGTACAAAATATTATCACGTGTTCTGTTCAACAGATTGAGACCGCTTGAGGAATCCTTCGTCGGCGAATACCAGGCTGGTTTTCGTGAGGGTCGATCAACGACGGATCAAATCTTTACCCTGCGTCAAAACCTTGAGAAGTTCCGGAAATACAACTTGCAGACTCATCATCTATTCATAGATTTCAAGGCAGCGTACGATTCAGTAAAGAGAAACGAGCTATAGCAGATAACGGTTTTCCGTCGAAACTAATTAGGCTGATTCGTGCAACGCTGGATGGTTCGAAATCATGTGTACGGGTTGCAGACGAGATTTCGGCCTCGTTCGTGACCTTAGATGGATTGAAGCAGGGAGATGCTCTTTCGAACTTGCTATTCAACATCGCCCTCGAAGGAGCGATTAGGAGAGCTGGCGTGCAAAGGAACGGTACTATCATCACAAAGTCGCACATGCTCCTTGGTTTTGCGGACGACATCCACATCATCGGAATCGACCGTAGAGCAGTGGAAGAGGCGTTCGCGCCTTTTAAGAGGGAGACAGCGAGGATTGGTCTCACGATAAATTCTACCAAAACGAAGTATATGGTCGCCGGTAGAAAGCGTAGGAGCAATAGTGGTGTTGGTAGTGAAGTGGTGCTAGATGGCGAAAAATTTGAAGTTGTGGACGAATATGCGATAATGATGTTACCCGCGAGGTGAAAAGGCGTATTGCAGCCGCGAACAGGGATTTCAACGGGTTGCGTAGCCAGCTGAAGTCCCGCAGCTTGCGTACGAAAACGAAATTCGCGCTGTACAAGACGTTGATTCTGCCGGTAGCCCTTTATGGCCACGAATCGCATTGCAAGAGGCCGATCGGAGAGCTTTCGGTGTCTTCGAGCGTAAAGTGCTGCGAACAATACTCGACGGTAAACTGGAAAATGGCATCTGGTGGCGTCGCATGAATCACGAATTGTACCAAGTATATAACGGCATAGATATTGTGAAGCTTATAAAACACGGCAGGCTACAGTGGGCTGGGCATGCGGCACGAATGCCGGAAAAGCGTCAAGCGAAGTCAATACTCAGCAGGGAACCCGGAAGAGGACGTCGGCTTCGGGGTAGGCCACGCACGCGTTGGCTTTGTGCAGTTGAGGAGGACATTAGGTCCTTGAACGTCCAAGGCGACTGGAAGCGATTGGCTCAGGACCGAGACCAATGGAGACGGTTACTTCGTTCGGCGCAGATTTGCATTCAACGAGTCGTCGCCCATCAGGTACTCAGGTAGGTACGCGTCGTACTTGTTCCGAAAATACCCATTTCTGAATCTGAGAGCCGCCATATTGGATTCCAAAATGATGTCAGACATATATTTTCGGGATGTACACGTCGAACACGTTCCGAAAATACCCATATTGTAGGGTATTTGACAGGTTATCAGAATCTGAGAGCTGCCAATTTGGATGTCAAAATGGCATCAGAAATAGATTTTCGGCATCTACCCGTCGTCCCCGTTCCAAAAATGCCTATGTTGAAGGGTATTTTACCACTTTTTTTGAAGTCATCTTCCACCATCTTGGATTCAAAAATGGCAACCGACATCGATTTTCGGAATGTTTCCGTTCCGAAAATACCAATATTATCGGGTATTTGACAGACTATCTGGAAACAATGGCTGCCATCTTGGATTCTGAAATGGCGTCGTACATCGATTTTCTACACGTCGTCCCCTTTTCGAAAATATCCATATTGGGTATTTGACAGTTTTTCAGAATCTGAGAGCCACCATCTTGGATTACAAACTAACGTAGGACATCAATTTTCGGCATCTACCCGTCGTCCTCGTTCCAATAATGCATATATTTTAGGGTATTTTACAGTTTTTCTGAAGTCAACGGCCGCCATCTTGATTCAAGCTACTTTGAGTCAGAGGTGAAATCAAGAGCCACATGTGAAAAGGGCATACAAGCTTTTTGTAAACATACCTTTGTAAGCCCTTTTCTCGCCAACCGAGGGTCGCCCACGTAAATCAACAACATCATGGGGATGGGGAAAATTTCTCCTATCCGATGATGTTGATGGTTTACGTTGGTGTCATATGGGTGGCGAGAAAAGGACATAAGAAGGTTTGTTTACAAAAAGCTTGTATGCCCTTTTCACATGTTGTTCTTGAAATCCCGTCAAAACAACACAATTCTCGCGTAACATTTGAAAAGGGCCTATCCTCGTTGATCGAGTCTTGTCATCGACTTTCTCTTTGGTTTACAACGGCAACATAAACGAATTTCTCGCCAAGCTTGCAGCACAGTTCGACAGAAGATGATGTCAGCTTGCGCCTGAAACAATACACTGAATGGGAAATTCATTTGCAGTCGGATTATTTGCGAAAGAGAAAATCGATGAAGAGAATCGATCAACAATGATAGACCCTTTCTCGTGTTGGGCGAGAATTCCAGTTAGAATTTCAATCTTGTTATGTCTCGTATGCAAAGCGACATGGATTTACTAGAGAACGACCTGGGACGGGACTTGACAATCGGGTAGGGATCTCGAGCCAATTTTCTGTCAAATCCGAGCCAGTTGCTGATTGGTCGAATTGACAGTAGCAATCGCATCTGGTTGGCAGTGATGCCGGAATCAATGTTGAAAAATTTGAAAATTTGTATGCACTGCGTGTTTTAAGCGATGGATATAGAGATTAGTGCCGTTTAACGCACGCACACTAACGGGAGTCTATCACCGTGTAAAGTAGGCTAACCTCTGGTTAACCTAAAAAATGTAAGAAATTAGATCTGTCAAAATGAGTTTGACTGCGATTTGTTATGTATTTTCCTCAGATTATCACTAACACGTCTCACATATCGCACCAATACTACCGGACGTGAAAATCTCAATTGTTGTTTGTTTATGGTTGTTTTCATAGTGCAGAAACTCCGAATAAAATCAAAAATTAAAATTGAAAAAAATATTTTACATTCCTGGCATCATTAGTCACCTGCGTCCAACACCTCGCACAAGTTTCCGAAGGGCATTCTTCAAAAACATTAAGGCTGTGAACCATTTGCCGAGTTAAATTTAACTCGTGGTTAAAAGTGACATTTCGAAAGTTATATTATATGTTCGAAAATCCCTGTGCTGTTGATCGATCGGTTTTCGAGAAGAACTTAGCCTCGGTTGTAAAAATTTAACTTCTTGTCTGTCAGAAGTAACCACGCTCGGATTGCAGGGTTAATCGATAACTTTCCATCTGTCAAATTTTAACCAAAAGTTAAAATAATCCTCCAAATGGTTCAGAGCCTAAGAATAGTGAGAAGCTTGGTTGTCAAGTCCCATCCCGGAGAACGACCAGCGGCAATTTTGTCACAACAGAATGGAAAAATGACATGACAAACTGTTTTCGTCAATAACCATGTCAACAGTTTCGGTCAATCTTTTCGTCCGACGTACGTGAAACAACTAAGTCGTTCTGAAAAACGTCACCCAACAGATGTTTCGTGACGAAATGAGAGAAAGACGAGTATAGAAAATGTTTCGTCGAAAGACAGCCCAGTAGATCAGTCTTTCAAGCAGAAGTTTGCTGCATCTTGCTTATCAGATAAGCATTGACTTTTTGTTGTTGTCTTTGTTACATAGTTTATCGTCATTAGGTTGACAGTTCCTAAGCCTGGTTACCTGAACTATAAAAAAAACTATTTTTTCTCGAATAAATCAGGCATAACATTTGATAACGGCACAAAAGCATTTGTAAGCAAACTTTCTAAGGCCCTTTACACGCGAACCAAAGTACGCCCACGCAAACCAATACCACTTTTGGAAAGGTGATTGTTGCTCCTATTGTTTGAGTGGGCGTACTTTGGTTCGCGTGTAAAGGGCCTTAGAAAGTTTGTTTACAAATGCTATTGTGCCGTATCAAATGTTATGCCTGAAATTTGATCTCATTAAAATAAATTTTATTGTTTTCTATTGCTTAATATTTTGATAACATAGAATTTATTGTAAACCTATTGATGTGACTATTTGATCAACTGACTGGTACAATACAATTACAATAGGGTTAATTATCAACAATAGAATCTATATTATTTTATTGATTTATAATTTAAATGTTATGCGGGAAATTACTTACCACCTAGGTTCATCAGATTTCAAAAATAAATCCCCTCGACGTTCGAAAAATCAACCCCTCTCCTCCCCAACGCATGCACACTCACCTGCACCTCGGAGCTGACGTCCAGCTGGATCGGCTTCAACCGCCCGGACGACAGGGCATTCAGCATTCCGGCCTCGACGCTCTCGTCCAGATTCTTGAAGCCAGCAAACACCGTAAATCCCAAATCATCCAAACGTCTAGCTAGGGCCCGGGCCAGCGGCGATTCACATCCGGTAATCAGCACTCCCTTGCCCAGCGGTGAGACCTGCCGAAGATAGCGAGAGAAAGAAGGGAAAATTTTAAGAATGCCATTGGACAGGTCGTTTCCAAAACAAAGAAAATCCGAGGTTGGGTTTGTCAAAACCAAAAAATAAAAATAAAAGGGTTCTTGGCAACTGGACCATGTTGCGATAACAGATAGCAGCAGACCGAAAAGGACGCTCATAGGCAGCAGCATTCATTCGAGCGACACGACATAATCAATTCAGCGCTGGAATCTAACGTCTTGATTTTCTGACGTTCTTATGGGTGCAAGCAAGCAAGCACGAAAGGGGGACAACCGGCAAGGATTTTTAGCTAGGGCGTCGATTCCGTCCCACACGTACGCTGGCTCCCGGTTTTTGCTCGCCGTATCTTGTCTCTAAATTGTGTTTACATAATAAGGATATTTACATAAGAATTACCACCGGGTACAATTTATTCGTTTTAATCTGTGCAAGAGATACTATACTGTATAGAGCGCTGTGTGTGTGTGCCATTTTGGGTTGTCGACGGATATTTTGCGACTCTTTGCTGCTTTGAAATCGCTCGTTGCTGTGGGCGAATGTCCTTTGTCGAATATGCACTGTGGGTGGTGCGGAGGGGGAAGGGGGCTATGCTGCTTCGGTGATTGCTGATTGTGTGGAAGGTAGGGGAGTAGGTACCTATAGCTTTGCTACTAACGTAAAACGATGTTGGCTCGTTTGCGATATGCAGCAAGGTCGAGGAAGGTTAAGGTGGAAATGCTGATTTTTCCTTTCGCATTGGTTGATGAAGACGATTGTAGTGCATGCCAATCTACTCGGCTTAATGAGTTGGGAAAATGTGTTTGACTCCAATACAATTCCAACCCATCTACTTTTACCCCCCTTCCCTAATGACACTCAACGTCGAGAAATCGCATTTAGATAGTCCCCCGAGTTGAATTCCCTTCGGCAGTTCGTTACAAGAATATATCTTGAAAATCCGAACATGCAAATTAACAAGCTCACGGTGTAAATTCCACCCACCATTCCACCGCACAGCGACCACCAAATTAAGACACAATTCCCGTATTCTTTACGTGGCATTTTGTAATTCCGAGGAGCCAACAACAAGTGGGTGCTCTCTGCTGGGAGTTGCTCACTTGGAGGTGGGTGGAATTATTTAGCGAGGAATTACCGCTGATTAACAGTCAGAGCGTGGCATTTGACTTAACCCTCCAGAGAAATTTCAAGCGCTGCTTGTGAGGAATTTCGATACGATGGGAGCCTATCGTGACGAAGGAAAGTTTCTCGGTTTTATGAGCGTTGTAAATTGTAATCTAACCGGAATGCGGAAAGTATGTGCTTGACGAACAAATCTTGTGGGACGACCTCCGAGCTCGTTTCGAGCTGCCAATTGTACATACCTTCCCATTAGCCCATCTGTCGATGCTGTCCTGAAAGTTCTTCCTGCTTATGACAGAAACTGCCACAAACTTCTATTCGACTTCTTCCTCCTTTCTTGTTTCCGCCATCAAGTAACCGTTCTCTGTGTGTGGTGGAAAACTTTATTTCCTAATAGAAAAAGGTCAAAACATCCCGTCCTCTCCACCGGTCGGTTTGGTCCACGATGAAAAATACGACCCAAGAATAACGACAGCGATGCGTGATAATCTTCGGGTTGACTTTTCTTTATAGTTGTTGCTTGGGGTGTTGGCATCATCCTTCCTTTGCTACGCTTTTAGTGCTGGTTGAGGTAGTGACGTCAATCGGTGACGACATTTTCTAGAAGATTTCCATCTCGTGTCCGTCTACTTGTGTTGTACTTTTTTTTTTATAGATTCTGAGGACAAACTTATTCATTCTCACATTCCAGGAAGCTGACACCCTTGCATGGAAATTAATTTTCTTTGCTGTCTCAGATGATCTGGCCCTTCTTATTCGTACCCTAAAATAACTTTCCGGATATCATCTTCATCCATCGGAATCTTTTCGAGAGGTTCTGACACACGTTTTTGTAACCTTTAGAATATAGCAGCTGGAAGTTTGGGGCTGACTGAGCCTTGTCGGATAGCAGTTACACGTTATTGAGACAGGTAATCATGGTTAAAATTTCTCTAAAAAAATTAAAGGGTTGTGTCCTAGATACGACCGCAGTATGACGTAGAACCACACAAAATTGAATAGTATGTAGTATGCAAATGAATAGTATGTGTGGTCACGCATGGTTTTGATATGTACATATATTAAGTATGATATTGATTTGTTCATCACGTTGCAACAATTCATGTGTGGAACACATAAAAACTCCAGAACAAGATCCTTAGGATGATCCTAAACAGTCCTCCACGGACCCGAAATTCTGAGGTTCACCGCCTGGCTGGCCTTCAGCCTCTCGAAGAGCGACGAACGGTCTCCTCGGAAAGGTTCAGAGACACCTGTCTGAAATAAGATCTTCAGATCATACGTGATCTGGCACGTTAGTTAAGTTAGACTCGTAGTTAGATAGGTTATCAAATTTTTTAAGGGGTATTCTGTTAACTAGATGAAATACGCAAATACTAAATTAGAATATCCAATGAACAAAGATGAAAAACCAGATAGGCTAATCAATTGAAATATAAAATCAATGTATACACCATAATCAACAGAAATAAACGAATTTTACTATTACTACTTTTACAGTCAGTGGTGTGCAATTCACCAACATAATATCATCGAATATGTCTTTCAAACAATTTTTTTTTCTCAAATTTGATCAAAGCTTTGGTGCGGGAAGAAATTAAGGGCAAAACTTCTGTTTTTACTAATAATTGTGGTTTGTTTAAAATGTATTTCTCGGAAAAAAGTGATCGTCAAAGTCCATGTCTTTTTCGGATTATTGTTGAAGGGGGGGGGGGGGTTGTAGTGAAGGGGGGAGGGGGTTTACAAACATTGCTTTTCCTCATTCGTCATTGTGACGCATTCCTCATTGTGGTTACGCCGTGATCCACCTTTAGCCACTGACTTGCTCCTGCTTGCTGCAGGACCAAGTGCCACGCCGTCCGAGGCGACAATGAGCAAAAGCACGACAGCAGCGTTTTTTTTTTGACTTTCAATGATCTATATTTCTTGTATTGTGTGGTTTACATTTATAACTTATCAAGTGACACAGATGCGTCTTTACAACTTTAGTTCCTTTTCAATTTAAATTATTATTAATTACAGTTCCTAGTTCTATCAGGCCTATTTTAAGAATAACCACCTTGGTGGGATTGGTTTGTTTAAAATTTGAAAAAGGAGACTACTTATAACTACTATTTACAACTACAACTAACCTACAACTACTATATACACCTAATCTACTATATAAGAATTGCTTATCAAAGCATGTTCTGATAAAATACATTTTTGTGTAAATTTAGTGCTAATTTCGTTAATTTTGGAATCTATTTTGGCAATGCCTGCCTCTTCGTGTAAATTTGTTATTCTAGTGTCGAAAGGACGATCAAGAACCATCCTCAGCACTCTATTCTGAGCTACCTGAATTTTGTTCCTGTGAGTCTGTGCACATGATTCCCACACCGGAGCTGCGTAGAGGATCGCAGGTGCTATGATTTGTTTGTAGACAGCCAGTTTGTTCACCCTTGAGAGGCGGGATCTGCGGCAAATCAGCGGATACAGACACCTAACCAAGACAGAACACTTGACTACTGTTTTCTCTACATGCGAACGGAAGAGGAGCTTTTCATCGAACAACATCCCGAGATAGGTTACTTCGGCAGACCACTCAACCCTTGTGCCATCCATGATTACAGTACAAGATGGAGCCGGTTTCAGTTTCAGCGATTGCCGATGGAGGAACATGATCGCTTGTGTTTTGGAGGCATTGATTTTAATTTTCCACGTGGTGGCATAATCAGCAAAGGCGTTAAGGCATCGTTGAAGTTTGTTTGTTATTTCGCAAGGCATCCTTCCTTTGACGGCTATTGCGGTATCATCTGCGAACAGGAAAAATACGCAACCGTCACCGAGGGGAGGAATGTCGGAAGTATAAATGCTGTAAAGCAAGGGGCCCAGCAGACTGCCTTGCGGGACTCCTGCTGGGATGGAAAACGTGTCGGAAAGACTACCATTCAACGATACCTTAAACGACCTTTGCTGGAGGTAGTTACGGGTGATTTTAACCAGATGTAATGGAAAGTTGAAGTTACAAAGCTTGTACACAAGTCCATCATGCCAAACATTGTCAAACGCCTTTTCAACGTCTAACAAGGCCATGGCTGTGGACTTGGATACAGCTTTGTTACTTCGGATGTTATTCATCACCCGTACTAGCTGATGATTGGTGGAGTGCCCCTTTCTGAATCCAAACTGTTCCGGAAGGAGAATGTTATTTTCCTCGACAAACTTGAACAAACGATTGAGAATGAGTTTCTCGAACAATTTGCTCAGCGCTGAATTGGTCTGTAGCTTGAAGGCAATGTTGGATCCTTACCGGGCTTGCAGATTGGTATGATTTTTGCTATTTTCCAAATGCTTGGAAAGTAGTGCAGTTCCAAACATCTGTTGAAGATAGCGGTTAGAAGAGACTGCACTTTCATGCTGAGTCTCTTCAAGATCAAGTTGAATATACCGTCAAACCCGGGAGCTTTCATGTTCTTGGTGCATTTCAGCGCTGAGCAAATCTGTTGTACTGTAATCATATCCGCCGGAGGCACGACACAAGGAGAGACAGGTTCAAGCAGACCGATGTGCAACCAAATCTGATAGGATTTCCCGCCGTTTTTTTTATGAATGGGGCGGAGCAAAAAGTTTCTTTTGTGCAGAATATGTAAAAAAGGATGGACTTTGGATGTTAATATAATTGCATATATAGAGGTACCAGATATGTTTTACAGCCAGTTGTTGGTAATCCATCGAGTGTATGTCTCCTGTTAAGCAATTGTTTTTTGAAAATGTTGGCTCTGCATGTAAAAAATTAATTTTTTATACATAGTTGTGGTTTACTTTAAATTTATTTCCCGGAAAAAAAATGATCGTCAAAGTCCATGTCTTTTTCGAG